CAGCTACCTGGGAGGCTGAGACAGGAGAATTGCTTGAACCCGGGAAGCGAAGGTTGCAGTGAGCCAAGATCGCACCATTGCACCCCAGCCTGGGTGACAAGAGTGAAACTCCATCTCAAACAAAGAAAGAAAGAAAAAAAAAGAGATATGAACAGTAAAACAAGAAGTTTACATACACCTACTCAGGGTACTGGGAGGAGAGAATAGAATGTAAGAGACCATATATTTGACATGGTAATGGCTGAGACATTTCCAAAATTGATAAAAGACTCAAATTCATAGAGAGGAACAGTGATTCACAAGTAGAATAAATAAAGTTAAATCCACACCTACACACATTTGTGGTGAAACTCCAGAGCACCAGTGGCAAAGAAAAACATCGTTGAAAAGCAGGCAGAGAGGAAACACATATTGCTACAAAGAGATAACAATTAGACTGATAGATTTCTCAACAGTTGCAAAATTAGACTTTAGAATCATATACACAAAACATTAGAAGTTAAATTTAGAAAAAGATATGCCATGAAAACACTAACAAAAATAAAGCTAAGATAGCTTTATTAGTGTCAGGCAAAGTAGACTCTAAGGAAGTATATGTTACTAGAAATGAAAAAGAACATTTTGTAATGATAAAATATTAATTATGCCAATTGAATCCATTCTAAATGTGTATGTACCTATTAATATAGCTTCAAAAATATTCAAAACAAGAACTGACAGAAGAAAAAATAGAAGTAAAAACATCTACCACCATAGTGGGAGGTTTTAATACTCCTCTCTCAGGAACGAAAAAAACCAGATAAAAGATTAGCATACTTTTTTCTTAAAAGATGACATAGAACTCAGCACCCAACATTTCAGAATGCATATTCTTATCAAGCACAAATGGATCATTTACAAAAAGTGACCAAACACTGGAACATACAGTGAATCTCAATGGGTTTTGAAGCACGGGAAACATTACAAAATAAATGATCTGACATAGTGACTTGAGCTACAACTCGATAATATAAGATAGTCATAAAATTGCCTTTTGGTTTGGAAATGAGAAGTAAACTTATAAATAATCCTTGGCTCAAAGAGAATCACAGTGAAAATTAGAATGCTGAAACTAAATGACAATGAAAATGCAACTTATTAGAATTTATGGGATGCAAATTAGAAAGGCACTGATGATAACCTTAAATGTAAAAGATGAAGTTATAATTAACAAAGTAAAAAAAAGTGTTTTTTGTTGTTGTTTTGTTGTTTTTGAGATGGAGTCTCCCTCTGTCACCCAGGCTGGAGTGTAGTGGTGCAGTCTTGGCTCACTGCAACCTCTGCCTCCTGGGTTCAACCGCTTCTCCTGCCTCAGCCTCCCCGAGTAGCTTGGACTACAGGTACACACCACCATACCCAGCTAATTTTTTTTTTTTTTGTATTTTTAGTAGAGATTAGATTTCACCATGTTGGCCAGGCTGATCTCAAACTCTTGACCTCAGGTTATCTGCCTGCCTTGGCCTCCCAAAGTGCTGGGGTTACAGGTGTGAGCCACTGCGCCTAGCCAAAAAATGGTTCTTTGACAAAACTGTTGAAGTTGATGAAACCATGGTGAGACAGAGAGAAAGAGAAAACAAATAACCAATGCAATTGTAGGGAGGAGCTTCTGTCTAAGGTTGAGAGAGAGGAGCCATGGAAGGAACAAACTTGGAAGAAATCCCTAATCCCAATAAGAGATGAGATCACGCCCTCATTAGTGAGGATGTGGCTGTGGTCCGCTGGGTAGGGCAGAAGTTCACTGAGGTGCCTCAAGTTAGAGTTGAGTCTCTAGCTAGTGGGCCAGGACTGGAGAGGATAGAGCCACCCACTGGGGTGCCAGCAACACCTTAGGCTGTGCTACACTGCGTCACCTACACACTGATGACACGTGCTGTGGTATCAGGGAAATTTGCTAGAAGGTGGGTGCCACTGCATTTCCCACACACCTCTGGTAACCATGCTGTGCTATAGAAACAAAAAGCAGGGTACACCAGAACCAGAAAGAAAAGCCTTTTCTTTGCTGTTCTTTGCAGTATTCTTCCTGCAATGTCTACTAACAAAGCCTAACGTTATAGGAGCTGCCAAAGAAGCAATGATTACAGGGTCCAGTTCTAGTATCACAAAATGTGGCAAGAAAAAAATAAGAAGAATAATAATTTTGGAGCCAAATGGGAATAAATTGATAGCTGGGGTAGTCAGCAGTTAGCTTTTAGATAAGAAAAATCTTAAAAGATACCATTCACAATAGATAATCAAGTACTCAGGAGAAACCTAATGAATGAGGTATGAGAGCTCTAAGATATTATTAAGATAAATCAAAGGGGACTGAAATAAGTGGGTAGGTATTACTGTATTCGAGGACTAGAAGGGTTGAAGTTGTCAAGATACAAATTCCTCCCAAATTGAGCTATAGGTTGAATGCAATCTCAGTCAAAATCCCAAAGTGGGGATTTTTCGGTAGATCTTGAGAATCTGCATCTAAAACTCATGTGGAATTACCAAAGGCCCAAAATAGCCAAGATGTTCTTGAAAAAAAAGAATAAGGTGGGAAGACTTTCTTTATTATAGATCAAGATCTGTTATAAAAGTACAGTAATTAGAATGGTATGGAATCAGCACACAGATACCCATATAGACAATGGAAGCAAATAGAGAATCCTGAAACAGATTCATGCAGTTATAGACACTCGAAGGCACTACTGCTGAGCAGTGGGCAAAGGAGTCTTCAATAAACGATTCTGGGCCAAATGGATATTCATCTAAAAATAGAAACAGCCTACATGTAATAAAGATATTTGTGTTTGGAAAAATTACATATATTAGGAGGAAAAGAATATTAGTTGTGAAATGACAGGTAAATAATACATCTTTTATTCTTTGTATTCTTTTCTGTTTTCAAATCTTCTATAATAAGCATACCTAGGCCAGGCTCAGTGGCTCACACCTGTAATCCCAGCACTTTGGGAGCCGAGGCGGGCGGATCACTTGAGGTCAGGAGTTCAAGACCAGCCTGGCCAACATGGTGAAACCCCATCTCTACTAAAAATACAAAAAAAAAAAAAAAGCCGGGTATGGTAGCGTGCACGTGTAACCCCACGTACTTGGAGGCTGAGGCAGGAGAATCGCTTGAACCCAGGAAGTGGACATTGCAGTGAGCCAAGATGGCACCACTGCACCCCAGCCTGGACAACAAGAGCCAGACTCCTCCAAAAAAATAAATAAATAGGCATACCTTACTTCGTTAATCAGAAAAATGAAAAACAAATAATCTAACACCCAAAGTCTGATTTCTTACAGGTGACAGGAAGGACATGATCTGTGGAATACTAAATATATTCTTGAGTTATTTCTCCTTCAGGACTACAGGGCCTGGGAGCGTAAATTATGACAGAGAGCAGCTGGCCCCATGCTGCCCTGGCTCTCCCAAGGTGGTTGCATTCTTTAAAATCATATCATAAACAAATCATTTGGGCTTTGTTGTTGTTGTTGTTGTTGTTGTTAGGAAAACTTCCTGTGAGCCAGTGGGCTTTTTGCATGGAGAGCATTTTGGGACTGAACTTACCGTGGAGATCCCTGAGTTCGAATCTGGTAATCATAGACCAAAATGGAAACGTTGAATACATGTCCAGCTTCCGGAATATCCACATTGAAAAACCTATAAAAGAGGCAAGTGAAACATAGCCCCAGCTAAAACCTGGCCAGGGCGAAACATAAGTTAGTCCTTTGAAAAGCTGGGAGTGGCCAGGTACAGTGGCTCATGCCTGTAATCCCAGCACTTTGGGAGGCCGATGCAGGCAGATTATGAGGTCAGGAGTTTGAGACCAGCCTGACCAACAAGGTGAAACCCCATGTCTGTCTACTAAAAATACAAAAATCAGTGAGGCATGGTGGCACATGCCTGTAATCCCAGCTACTTAGGAGGCTGAGGCAAGAGAATCCTTTTAACCCGGGAGGCAGAGGTTGCAGTGAGCCAAGATGGCGCCACAGCCTGGGCAATAGAGCGAGACTCCCTCTCAAAAAAAAAAAAAGAAGAAAGGAAAAGAAAAAAAAGAAAAGCTGGGAGTGGAATAATCTAATAGATGGAGTTACAGTCTTAGGAAAGGCTGAAGGGGAATCTCCCAGGTACACTGTGGTCTGTTCAGCAAATTTCTGTGTTCCTAGGATAAGAAAAAAGAAAAAAAAAAAAAAGAAAAGGAAAACCTTCAACAAACAAGTCCACATCAAATACTGGATTTTTGTTTTTTTAAGACGGAGTCTCACTCTGTCATTCAGGCTGGAGTGCAGTGGTGCGATCTTGGCTCACTGCAACCTCTGACTGCCAGGTTCAAAGGATTCTCCTGCCTCAGCCTCCCGAGTGGCTGGGACTACAGGCGCGTGCCACCACACCCGGCTAATGTTTTGTATTTTTAGTAGAGATGGTGTTTCACCATGTTAGCCAGGATGGTCTTGATCTCCTGACCTTGTGATCTGCCCACCTCGGCCTCCCAAACTGCTGGGACTACAGGTATGAGCCACTGCACCTGGCTTGGATTTTTAAGTGCTGTCTAGCAGAAGGGTAGATCTGACATCTATGCTTTTTGTTTGTTTGTTTTTTGAAGCAGAGTCTTGCTCTGTTGCCCAGGCTGGAGTGCAGTGGTACAATCTCAGTTCACTGCAACTTCTCCCTCCCAGGCTTAAGCGACTCTCCTGCCTCAGCCTCCTGAGTAACTGAGATTACAGGTGCCTGCCACCATACTCAGCTAATTTTTTATTTTTAGTGGAGATGGGGTTTCACTGTGTTGTCCAGGCTGGTCTTGAACTCTTAACTTCAAGTGATCTGCCTGCCTCGGCCTCCCAAAGTGCTGGGATTACAGGCATGATCCCCTGCGCCTGGTCTGACATCCATGCTTTTATACAACATACCATTTAGAATATTTAAGCTAACCCTTGTTAAATTTGAGTGTACAGACTTGCTGACATGACCCAGAATATGTCTGAAAGATTTTTGAAATGTAGAATCTCTTATTAGAATGTGAATATCAGGGAGATTTATCGGATCCCTGTACTTATTACTTAACAATTCATCAGCAGTGAGATATAACACTGAGCTGAAAGGGAGCTGGTTGGACCCAGGACTTGGGTGATCATTTGCAGGGAAGATGAGAAGGTAAGAGCAGAGAGAAGTAAAGGTAGGTTAGAGACCAAAATATCTCCAGGAAGGAGGCTTTTGACTTCACTTCAGAGGCAGTTTACCATGGTGACTAAGATCACAGGCCGTGGCTTCAGGCAGCCAAAATTTAAATCCCACTTCCCAGCTCTGTGACCCCTGGGAAAGTTCCTTTATCTCCCTTTTTTCAAAATTGTAAAATGGACATAATAATAGTTCTGTTCTTGTTCCTTCTTGTTGTAGAGGACCAAATGAAATAATCCACATGAACTTCTCTGTAAATGGTGGCTCTTGTTAGTTACCGCTGCCTTATTTGCTTTGGCCCTGTCCCCTGAGGATCACAGACTGAATGAAGAGGGTGGGGCCTCCACGGGAAGGCTGGCCTTCTCAGATTTGTCTAAATCACATCATTTGAATTGGTGATGATGTTTTGTGTTTGTTACATTTGCTAAAAGCGATCTGTGTCATGAATTCGATATGTTCTAACACTTGGAAAATCTTTATTGTAGGCTAATTCTGCTCTAGTTGAAACTCTGTACAGATACCGATCTGACCTGGAAATCATATTTAATGCCATTGACACTGATCACTCAGGTAAATAAATGAACTTTGATGAGTTCATTTAAAAAACATATTTGTGTGTGTGTGTGTATATTGGAGATACAAAGTGAGTACACTTGGATTGAGCCCTATAATTAATATGGTTTGACCCCTTCATTGGTAAGATGGGCCTTGCTTATGCATGCTGTTTAATGAAAATCGTAGGAGCCCATTGTTTTGGACTCAGCTCCTGCCCTAGGCCCCAACAGGCTAGACTACAGGTCAAAATGGGGGTAGCAGTAGTAGAAAGCAGAAGCTAGTCTGGTTCTCTGAAATCAGAACTCTGTTTTTATCTATTTCATTCTTCATTTAACATGATAAAACTTGAGGGGAAAAACAAACTTGTTTAATATTATTGTTATTTCAGTTTGGCTGCAGTCTCTGTATTCAAGATGATAGAGTCCTACAGAAGCCTATGTAGCCATCAGTCAAACTGGAATAACTCTTTTTATAAATCACCAGTACAAATGAAGAGGTGATTTGCTATCCATTTCAGTATCTCATTCCTAGAATTCTGATTCTGTTTTGGGGATTAAGGGATATGAAAACTCATTTTCTGCCTTTAGCTTTGATGTACAATTACTAATTTTCAAATTTTTAAAAACTCATCAGATAATTCCCTACTGTAGAGACCTTTGAACACCAAAAAGATCAATGATCAACACATTAAATTATTGCCTATAAAAAAGGCAGCGCCATTGTTTGTAATCCTCTTATTGACTCCCAGGGCCTCTTCTCCCTCTTCTTTGATGTCACTTTCCTCTCTGCCCTCCTCCTGTGCACCTTACCCTTCTATTTTAGATCCTATCATTTCTATACCACATCTAGTCCCACAGTCCACAACCCCATCCCCATTTCTTCACTGTTTGCTCGTTCTGGCTTTAGAATAAGTTCAGGATCCCTTAGGAGTTGAAAGTGACATATTGTTTCTTACATTTATTTTTATTTTTTTATTTTTCTTTTTAAAGACAGGGTTTCACCATGTTGGTCAGACTGGTCTTGAACTCCTGACCTCAGGTGATCCGCCCACCTCCGCCTCCCAAAGTGCTGAGATTACAGGCGTGAGCCACCACGCCTGGCCCGTTGTTACATTTATAATCTTACTCTTCCGTATCCTTCAGTATCTTCATGGTCAGGCATTTTAGTGAGTTTCTAATTGGGACTATTCAATCAGTGTGGCTTCTGCAACCCCTGCCTTAGGTGGGTCTTAAAATGAACACTCATAACCTTCTCTTATATTCTTTTAGGGCTGATCTCCATGGAAGAATTTCATGCCATGTGGAAACTTTTTAGTTCTCACTACAATCTTCATATTGATAATTCCCAAGTCAATAAGATTGCCAACATGATGGACCTGAACAGAGACGGAAGCATTGACTTTACTGAGTTTTTAAAGGCTTTCTATGTAGTACATAAATATGAGACTATGGTGAAACCTGAAGCCACCAACCTTGCTGAACAACACAAATGAGAGCTTCCCTCAGGCCCGTTGTAAACAGCTGGGCCGAAATCACAAGCACGGTCCTTTCCAGCACCCCTGAAATTCATAGTTGGTAGCAGAGAAAAACAGATCCCAATTCAGTCCACAAGCAGATGCATAGTATGGGTTTTGGAAGTCCTTGGCAAGCTGCTATTGATAAGATTAGGTTAAATGTCAGTAATAGGATTTAGGTCCAGCATTAGTACCCACATATTGCCAATGAGAAACTGGGTTTGAACCTAGTGTTGTTCTCCTGAGTGCCACCTAACCAGCAGCCCAGAGAGGTTTGAGAACATCTTGAAAGGAACCCGCACAGCACAAGAGAAAACTACTAAGCGCAACATCTGTGAGTTACAGAGAGACAGGGGAGGAATACCAGGTCGTTAATGGAATAAAGCATTTCCATCTTAAACTGTGATCTTCTGTGGAGATTTTATTTTATTTTATATTTTATTTTATTAAGATGGGGTTTCACCATGATGGCCAGGCTGGTGTTGAACTCCTGACCTCAGGTGATCCACCCACCTTGGCATCCCAAAGTGCTAAGATTACAGGCGTGAGCCACCATGCCCGGCCTCTGTGGAGATTTTATAAGCCAGTGATCCTCAATTAATGGATCCACCCTTCAGGGATGAGAGCCATGTTGGATTCTTGGGGGGAATCTGTGGGAGTGAATTGTTTGAAAAAGCATATTTGTGTGTATGTGTATGTTGGAGATACAAAGTGAGTACACTTGGATTGAGCCCTATACTTAATATGGTTTGACACCTTCACAGGTAAGATGGGGCCTTGCTTATGCATGCTGTTAAATTAAAATCTTAGGAGCCCATTGCTTTGGACTCAGCTACTGTCCTATGCCCCAACAGACTAGACTACAAGTCAAAATGGGGTCACCCATGTTGAGGTGCTATGTCACCAAACTGAAAATGAGTTGTTATCTGACCTACTCGGAAGTCAGGAGATAAAAACAGCCTAATTTCCCAAACAGGCCAGCTTCAGTTGGCATAATAATACAGTTCCCTCTGCCTTACAACAAGAAGTCACCTGAAGTAACCTGGTGGGAACCAGTCAATGATTTGTCTATTATTATTTCCTTGCTTCTGTCTTACAAAGAAGGTAACTCTGAAATGACCAGTCTGCTTTCTGTGCTTTGGTTCTGCTTTCTTCAGTTTTTCTGTCTATAAAAGCAACCTGTTCTGGTCAACTTATCAGCACACTGTATTTTTATGGAAGGAAGTATTACCTGATTCTAGACCCACAAACAAAGCCAGTTAAAATATTTAAATGTTACCTTTTGACTAATCTGGTGGCCATGCCATCAAAGGGACCGTAAGGAGACTACTGATTACTTTTTTTTTTTTTTTTTGAGATGGAGTTTTGCTCTTATTGCCCATGTTGGTATGCAGTGGTGCTCGGGTTCAAGTGATTCTCCTGCCTCAGCCTCCCAAGTAGCTGGGATTACAGGCACGTGCCACCACTCCTGGCTAATTTTTGTATTTTTAGTAGAGATGGGATTTTACCATGTTGGCCAAGCTAGTCTTGAACTCCTGACCTCAGGCGATCCACCCGCCTCAGCCTCCAAAAGTGCTAGGATTATAGGCATGAGCCACCACGCCTGGCCTCTACTAATTAGTCTTAAGGACCTCTTGAGGAATGCAGGAGAGGTGCTGCTGACTCCTTTGAGGTCCTCTGTCTTCCTCACAGAGTCCTAGGTGTTGTAAATAAGTTCCTTTTGGACCAGACTCTGTTCTTTTTGCATTGAGAATCCTGAATTTTTTGGCTTTCAAATCCAAGGCAAATGCCATGAGTGAGCATTTGACCTCAGGGTACTGCTATGATTTGAATATGGTGTGACCCTCTGAAACTCATACTAAAATTTTATTGCCATTGTGGCCATGTTGGGAGGTGGGGTCTTTAAGAAGTGATTAAGTCTGGCTGGGTGCGATGGCTTACACCTGTAATCTCAGCACTTTGGGAGGCGGAGGCCTGCAGATCACCCGAGGTTGGAAGTTCTAGAGCAGCCTGACCAACATGGAGAAACCCTGTCTCTACTAAAAATAAAAAATTAACTGGGCGTGTTAGCATGTGCCTGTAATCCCAACTACTACTTTGCGAGGCTGAAGCAGGAGAATCCTTTGCACTTAGGAGATGGAGGTTGCGGTGAGCCAAGATCATGCCATTGCACTCCAGCCTGGGCAACAAGAGCAAAACTCCATTTAAAAAAAAAAAAAGTGATTAGGTCTTTAAGAGGGATTAGTGGCCGGGCATGGTGGCTCACACCTGTAATCCCAGCACTTTGGGAGGCCGAGGCGGGTGGATCACGAGGTCAAGAGATCGAGACCATCCTGATCAACATGGTGAAACCCCGTCTCTATTAAAAATAAAAAAATTCAGCTGGGCATGGTGGCGCGTGCCTGTAATCCCAGCTACTCAGGAGGCTGAGGCAGGAGAATTGCCTGAACCCAGGAG